AAAAAAAAAAAAAAAAAAAAAAAAATACATGGAACTTTTCTATCTGAAATTGATTTGTTATGAGGCAAATTGTAAATCTAAATTCTTCTCAGTAGTTCTATCAAGTTTGCCCAGTTTCATATCTTGCAGAAGTACAAAGATATGTGCACAAAGATATTCATAGCAGTACAGTCTAAAATAGCCAAAAAAAAAAAAAAAAGTTGAAGTAGCTTAGAAATAGGTAATGATTGAATAAATTAAAAAATACTATTAAATACTATGTAGCCATTAAAAGAAAAGGGAGATCTATATTTATATCCTAGAAAGATAAAGACACTATTTGGTGAAAAAAGCAAATTGTGGTGTAATAGGTATGCATGCATTTAAATGCATAGAAAAGGGTCTGGTGGCTGGGGAGGAGGGAGAAATATCACTTTGTACTCTGTATGTCTCCATCGTGTTGGTTTCTAGAGAAGAATATGAAGCATAAGCCCAAAAATGCAAGGCGTTCTCCCCTAAGAGAAAAGAACCTCAGAAAAGTCTTTGACTACATTAACTTTTGAAGACAGAGGCGTGACAGCCAAATTTCTGTTTATGCCATTAATTTCATGTCATGGTGTGTACAGATTTTAAATCACATGTATCAGATATGTTTTTTATCCACCTTTTTTGACTTGCATTTAGACGCTTCACGTGCTTTTTTAATGTTGCTGTCTTCCTTCTTCAGAGGCACATTTGAAATAACGTAACAGTTTCCAGGGCATGGCATCTGTACTCCCTTCTAAGCTGTTTGAGATACAACATTTTTAATTTAATTATCTTCATAGGTAATCCATTCACGTGGTTCAAAAGTTTAAAAGAATGGCCAGGTGCAGTGGCTCCCAGCACTTTGGGAGGCCAAGACGGGCGGATCACCTGAGGTCAGGAGTTCCAGACCAGCCTGGCCAACATGCTGAAACCCCATCTCCACTAAAAATAAAAAAAAATTAGCCAGGTGTGGTGGCACACATCCGTAATCCCAGCTACTCGGGAGGCTGAGGCAGGAGAATTGCTCAAACCCAGGAGGTGGAGGTTACAGTGAGCTGAGATTGAGCCACTACACTTCAGCTTAGGCAGCTGAGCGAGACTCCATCTTGAAAAAATATATATATAAAATGTTACACAATGAAAAATCTGTCTCACTTCTTCCCTTTTTGCCCAGTTTCCACTGCTCCTCAGCCCCTACTAGTAGCTTGTTATTGTTTAGGATTTGTTTATGCATATACAAGAAAATACAAATGCACAATCTAAATTTTTCTCCTTTTTAAAATATAAAAGGCAAGTGCTATATCCACTGTTCTGCAGCTTGCATTTCTTTTTTTTTTGCTTGTTGGATATATTGTAATCTTTCCATATCAGTACATTAAATGTCTTCATTCTTTTTTACAGCTGCAGAATAACCCATTGCATATTTGTACCATCATTTATTTAGAGTTACAGCATATTTTAAATTCCATGGGGAATTTTACCCCAAGCCACAAGTACCTGGTTGCAATACAATAGTATTTAATGGATAGCTGGTATTTATAGAGCATTCTAAGTGCTTTCTGTTAGCTCCTTTAATCCTGCATTATCCAGCTTATTTAATTGTCCAGCAGTCTTGGGAAGTAGGCATGCTTGTTATCCCAGTTTTACAGTTGAGAAAAGAGAGGCATGGAGGAAGAAATAAACTTGCCCATATCATTTTGAAATTCAATTTCCTGGATAAAATGGTGACCACATTAATTTTTGAAATGTTAGTTGTTTAGCATAGGTGAAGTCAGCAGACTTTTTCAGTAAAGGGCCTGGCAGAAAGTAGTTTAGGCTTTGCCAGCTACTGCAGCCACTCAGCCCTTCCTTCTAGTGTGGAAGCAGTCACAGACATTACATAAATGAGTCAGTGTGGCTGAGTGCCAGTAAAACTTTATTTACAAAAGCAGGTAGCTGGCCAGATTTGTAGTCCCGCGATAGGTAATTCAGCATCACCTTAGTCTTGATGCGCCTGTGAAAGCATCTAGTCCCTTGGCTGCGCTGCAGCCAGTCCACAGGCGTCTTCTTGTTGCCTTTCTTTTTGCCAACAGGCACCAGGATTTCAGCCCTTTAATTGACTTCTTTAAGCTTTCTCCCACCTGTTATTCTTTTTCCTGTTTCTGTTATCCTTACCCATGAGTTGTTAGGTAGGAGGGTAGTTTAACATACTCTGCCTTCTCTGTCCTTGAAAATAAATGCACATATTCTCCATGCTGTTGGCTGTAGGGAATTTAAAACAATACATGTGAAGATAAGAGTCCAGAATTCAGGTGCCTTTTTTTGTTGTTTGTTTTGGACACAGAGTCTGACTCTTTCACTCAGGCTGGAGTGCAGTGGTGTGATCTATGTATTTATTTATTTATTTGTATTTTTTAGTAGAGATGGGTTTCACCATGTTGGCGAGGATGGTCTTGAACTCCTGACCTGAAATGATCTGCCTGTCTTGGCCTCCCAAAGTGTTGGGATTACAGGCGTGAGCCATCACACCTGGCCTCAGGTGCCTTTTTGTCTTGAGAGCCCTGGCTTAGCACACTCATCCACTATTTTTCTGATCAGGTTTGACCCACATGCAGCCATTGGGCTAAATGTGGCTTCCCTTATCGACCAGGGTGGCCCCTTCCTGAAATGTTGATCAAGATACTCTTTTTCTGTGTTCAGCAGCTTGTTGGTATAGTCACCTCTCATTGCGGATTTTTGATCAATTTGATCTAAACATGGAAAAGCAAATTTTACTTTCCACAGATGTTCTCACCAAATATGTGCAGCTCAGAAGAAAAAGGCTGTGGTCCTCATGTCCCTTTATTCATTTAGTGACTTGGGGCTGTCGATGTTACAAGTCAGCTTCATTGCTTAATGTGATTGTGAGATTGCATGTTTTCTATGTGTGCGTATTTTCAACTAAGGCTAGTTTGTGAAATAAGTAATATTTCACCTGAAAGATTGAGAAACCAAACGTCGCAGCTATAAAACTGGCATTTGGCTGAGCACATTGGGCTCATGCCGGTAATCACAGCATTTGGAGGCTGAGGCACGCGGATCACCTGAGGTCAGGGGTTTGAGACCAGCCTGGCCAACAGGGAGAAAGCCTGTCTCTATTAAAAATACAGAAATTAGCCAGACATGGTGGTACATGCCTGTAATCCCAGCTATTCAAGAGGTTGAGGCAGGAAAATTGCCTAAACCCAAGAGGTAGAGGTTGCAGCGAGCTGAGATTGAGCTACTTATTCCAGCCTGGGCAATAGAGTGAGACTCTGTCTCAAAAACAAACAAACTGGCATTTGATCTGCAGAGTCAACCTGTATAATTTTAACAAAACAGACCAATATTTCTGTTCTCAGTTTTCAGAGTTTGGCAGGAAGATGAGTATTCAAACACTGCAACAAGTTACACATTGTCAGGCCTTGTCACTCAGAAAGCCTCTCTCCGGGGGTCAAGGCCTGATCGAGCCTGAGTCTCTTCTCTTGCAGGCATGACAGCAAGTGCCGTCGCAGCTTTGATCCTCATGACGTCCTCCATCATGTCGGTCGTGGGGTCCCTGTACCTGGCCTACATTCTGTACTTTGTGCTGAAGGAGTTCTGCATCATCTGTGTCATCACGTACGTGCTGAACTTCATTCTTCTCATTATCAACTACAAACGACTAGTTTACTTGAACGAGGCCTGGAAACGGCAGCTGCAGCCCAAGCAGGACTGACCTCCACAGACTCTTCCCTGACAGTCTCAAGTCCCTTTTCCATTAAGTTTATTTTGCAGCAGTTTTTTTTTTTTTTTTTTAAATTCTTCACAACAGACACTTTCCCTAAGAATCTTAAACTGGTTTTTAAAAATCCTATAAATTAGAAGGGGCCCTCGCTATTTTTTGTGTCAATCTTCATTTTAAATATGGATACAAAAAGGATACGCCAAGCCAATCAAAGACAAGCTTTAACTTTACTTTGAAGATGTTTTTGAAATGATAAAATGTAGCCCTAGCCCCCTTCCCTCAATTGTAAAGTGAGCAACCATTGCTAGTAATTCCTTAAAGTGTATAAATTCAATTTCAGGTATAACAAATGTGATCATGACATGAAAATATTTTAGAATAGATACTGTATTAAATATTGCCATGTTTACAATATGTAATATGTTTTTAGCCGATGGATTTAAACATGTAGATTCAACTAGAATCCATTTATGTGATATTTGTAAATAAAAGTAGAAATATTGGATCCATCCCTGCAGAACTTACTGTGCAGTTTAGTTGGAGTTAGCACTGAAGACTGTCAGCTCGGCGTGGACTGAGGAGGTAGTGAGAATAGCCCATACACAGCATCTTGAGAAAAGTGCTGGCAGCCGTGGGTGCAGCATCGATTGCAAAAATTACAGGGCGAAAAAAAAAAAATAATAGGGTGGTTGGTTCCCTTTCATCTCCCACTTTCTGAAAGGAAGAAATTGAATTGGAACGTTCAAGTCAGATTTGTGTCTGGTTGTAAAACTGGACCAATTGTTAACCTTACAGAGTAAGTCCGAGGCCTGGAGGACAGTAGGATGGGAAGATGGGTATTTTTCTTTGGAGAAAAGCTGGAAATATAAACATGGCATTTTTAGGTAAAGTTTCTTCCACCAGTTGAATTTTCACAGATATTTTTCCTTAATACTGGTGCCAGTCAACCAAACAGTATTCTAATGGAAATGACCAGTGTAAGCCCCATCACTCCAGAGTGGGAGCCAGTGTTCTTGCTAATTGTTTCTCTCTGCACTAACCACTTGGATGTCTAATTTTTTTTGGAGTGAAATCCTGGATTTGTGACCTTCAGGGCTGACATGCTGCGCAGTCTGCTTCATCGGGGGACAGCAACAGGTAGACACATCTCAAGGCGAAATACAGTCATGTCGCCACTGCTCTCATAACGACACACATGCAGTAAGAAGAGTTTGGAAAGGGGATTCGAGTAAGCCCAAATGACAATGTGACAGGACGTTTCTGTGGTTAACATCTGATGTCAGAATGTTAAAAGTGCCTTCTGTCTTAAATCTCAAACCAAATATTTTGTGTGTTGACCTTGGGCAGAAGTGTCCTTCCTTCCTTTCTTTGCCGTCAGGTAGAAAACCCGCACTCTGCAGAAGGGTCCTGTGTGATCATTTGACTCCTCTGGTTGAGAAGCAGCAGCAATGTTTTTGCTTCTGATTTGATTAATCGTTTTATGTTAAAAATAGTCAATGAGGCTGGTACCTCTTGAGTGCTTTATTTGCCTTCTCTTTGAAGGGAGGGAACAGACTCTGTTCTGTGAACTAAAATGTGTAGAGTCAGCAACAATTCAGTAGTTTCCAACTATTAATGGACGCAACATAGGTCTTTTAGCCCAAGGCAAGTATCAAGTCCAAATTGTAATGAACTTTTCACCAGTTTTAACCAGTTTTTTCTTAAAAGATAGCTTAACTCAAGATTTCATCAAGGCTTGTGTTTTCCCATGAATGTGAATCTTTCAATGGCCGTTTTAGTCTGTATGTACTATTGTGTTCTGAAGTAGTGGAAGAACTCTAGAAAGCACTGATTGGCTGTCTGGTGTCTGTGGAGAAGGAAGTCTCGCGTTTGAGGACTGTGCTGGGCGGCCATCTTGGGCGGCGCATCCAGCTCCCCTAGGGCAGTCCCCTGGTTCTTTCTTCTAAGCTACGGTGGAAGTGGCTTCATGGTTAAAACTGTGGTATACGTTACACCAGTTACACTAAACAAGTTCCTCGCATCCCAATATCCAATGGTTTTTCATCCTAGTTTGTATCAATCAGCAAAGTATAGTTAAAGCTTGGCTTGATATTGCATTCTTGCAGATGTCTTCAACTCTTACCTGAGAAAACAGAAAAATGGTCAGCCAGACCCTTCCAGTTTTTTCTTTGCTTTCCTGAACCTTGGGGAAACCACTATTTCAGTTGTATAAAAGTTTTTGCCACATTCCTATGGCCCAGGCGAATAAATACCCTTTTTTCTCACTGAGAGAGGAACACGTGCTGCCTGTAATAACAGCATTGTAACGCCGGTATCTCAATGAGCATCAGAACCCTGGTGGCTGTTAATTTGGTGTTTTTTGCCCTGGAGTTTAGGTTTCTTTCTGTACCTTCCGTTCTGCCCAGAAGACGGGGGAGTCACCAATGTTATAAACTTAGAAGATTGTCGTGCCTGTTTTAGACTGAGTATTTAAACACTGCAGCTAGCCAGCAGTGTAAAGCGGAGGTTGCAGTGAGCAGAGAGGTTGCACCACTGCACTCCAGCCTGGGCAACGAAACTGTCTCAAAAAAAAAACTACTTGTTGACTTTTTTCATTTAGTTTTTGAAAAGACTATTTGCAAAAGTAGAGTTATCTTCAGCAATTACTTCATAATTTAGATTGGTACCAAGAGTGACAGGAGAGCTTGTCTTGAAAATCAGTATTAGATGCCAACAAGGAGACCCACTGTGATTTCTGGAAGCCTATTTGGTGAGGCAGACCTAATGACCTAATATTCAATTTCTGTCTTCCTTTCCTCCAACACACAAGCATTGGTGAAACATCTCAGACACCTGAGGCAGCATTACGCTTTCTAATTGTGACGACCCTTCTGCCATCAAACAAAAGGGGCAAGTGTGGGAGCCCTGACTACTTAAACATCTTTTTACTACAAATTTGTCCAGAAAAGGTGAAATGTTTTGTTATAAAACTGTATTAAGCATGGCCTAAGTATTAGGTGTATCATCGGTCTAATATGTTCCATCAAAAATATTCATTACTAGTGCTTTAAGCTCCAGAGTAAACATTCATTTAAAAATGGAGTTCACTGGGCAGATTTCCCCATTAATAATCTAGATAGAAGTATTCTTTATCAGAGATTTAAGGCACCATTTTGCTAACTGGTAAATAAAACCAAATGTAAATATGTAAGAATGTTTATTTGTTGCACATAACTTTTTTGGTATAAAATAAATGTAGAAGTTACCTGTGGAAGTTGTGCTGCCATTATTCTTCACCTGCAGGGTTGCATTCCAGAAAAGAAGCTGAGTCTTTTTAGACTCACTCGGAGCCTTGTATGCTTGAAGTCCATGCTGTAACCTCATTTCTAAGGTATACAGGGTTCTTTTTCTCTTAAATGATATGTAACTTGCAGAAGATTCAGAGTTCTCAGACCTCTAGTTCGTGGAATTCCTGTGGGTTTATGATCTATGTGATTGTCAAGATTTAATGACAAAAAGTGTCACTGCCTACAGTTCTGTGAACACTTAAAATGTATCAATGAACCGTTTTTCCATAGTTTTACTTTAGCTTTCCTTGAATACTCCACACATAATCCTCTAAAAAGGTAGCATCCGCAAGAAAGATGAATCCATTGGAAATACAGCTGAGCCATAGTTTATGGAAATACAACAGGTGTGTTCTGTGCTCAAGCTTAAGACCTGTGAAATGGGCTGCCCTTAATTTGTAAAACATTTAAATGTGTCTATTACATTTAATTTTTCTTAATGTTTGCCAACTTTTATCCATTATACGTTGACATACTGGAACACAAAATTTGATTCCTTTGAAAAACTAAAGAGAAGTTCAGTGAAAACAAAAAAAAATGGAACCCCTAGATTCCTAATTGGAACTGACCACACTCTCATTTTTAAAAAATGGACTAATAAAGCCTAATAAAACCAGGCTAAATTATCTTTATTCTTTGTTTCATGGAGCTTGCAAAGGAAAGCTGAAAAGGGGGCTCTGTGTGGACACAGGGGGTTCAACTACAAGACAGAGAAATCAAGTTGTATAGCAAGAACCATTATTGGAGGCCAGGTGCGGTGGCTCATGCCTGTAATCCCTGCACTTGGGGAGGCTGAGATGGATCACTTGAGGTCAGGAGTTCGAGACCAGCCTGGCCAGCATGGCAAAACCCCATCTCTACTAAAAATACAAAAAAAAAAAAAAGAAAGAAATTAGCAGGGCATGGTGGCAGGCGCCTCTAGTTCTAGCTACTTGGGAGGCTGAGGCAGAAGAACTGTTTGAACCCCTGAGGCGGAGGTTGTGGTGAGTCAAGATTGCACCACCGCACTCCAGCCTGGCCGACAGAGCAGACTGTCT